TAGATACCTCAACATTTTTTGGAAACAATGCATGCAGAGCATGACTATATCTTTTTACCACATAGGCATGAAAGATTTTACACTGGAGATAATACCTTGCTGCTAGACACGAGTAGTGTTGAAATCTTAAGCCAAGAAATGGGTTCTTATATTCCTTAATTATCATGTGTACACCACATTTACAGTGTAAATGAGAAAAACAAAACTACAGATTACATTGCATTAAGAAATATAACCTTTTCCAAGAGTTTATCTTTATTCAATTATTGTTTTGTGTTTGTATTTTTTTATGTTGGCATTGTGAATAATCTTTTTCTATGTTTGTGATTTGCAGCTGTTAGCAGTTAATCATTATGGCTCACTAATACACCCCTTGGATCAACACAAGGGGACTGAAGAAAATCACATTCTTACAAAACATGCACTTGCTGGAGTCATTCACCATTTACACACTCTGGACTCCATAATGCCTCTACAGAAGATTCGATAACAATTAAGAAGATATGCACTGTCAACACTGTAAACTCAGAGGGAATACTGGCAAATTACAAGCCAACCCACCCCTGGTGACAATCATTCAATTGTGTGCTGCTGCTTGGGGAATGTGATGTCTGGACTGTAGGGCCCAACCTTGGCTCTGAACTTGTACCTTTAATAAACACTCAGGAAGCTCAATATTTATTTTTATAGAATGGCAAAATTAGATATTATTATATCAGCATTTGAAGAAAACACATTATTTTTGTATGTTATTTTAAATGGTGTGATATGTGTAACGCACACGCCCCTGTGTATAACAGGGATATCAGGTGCCTGGGCTGGGGGAAGTCTCCTTTAGTCTCCTTTAGCTCAGCCGGCAAGTTCCCTTGGGTTTGCACCCAGGCAGTGAGGGAACAACTGGCAGGGCAAGAGCAGCAAGGGCAGAAACTCAATGAACTGTTACATATACAAACCACTCTTAAAATTTCTTTATTGTGTAAATTGTGCTAATTGTGCTCACAGTTACTGAAGTAAAAAAAAAATGTACTGTGTAGTAGGTATAATATGGTGTGGGGAAAAAAGCAGAATAATACAATATATACAGTACAAGAAGCAAAACAACACAATACTGTATACAGTTCAGAAATTACCAAGAAAGATTTGTCAGGTCAAAAGGGTTGAAGTCTGAACAGACAGGTTTTGCAGGAGTTGCAGAGTTCTTTGTCATGGCTTGTACAAACTTAAGGAAGCAGTTTCACAGAACTTGATCTGGGATAATATTAGACTACCTAATGTAAATTTAGGTAAGCATGCCTGGAACTAATGATAATCGATGTCAGGTCTGTGAAACAAGTCCAAAGAGTACTAATTACTGTTTGATCTAAAGAGTATAATTACTTTTGGATATCAAGTGCAGTGGAGTATTAGGTGAAGATCGCAGTTCTGACTAACTTAGAAAAATGCAAAAAATAAAGCTACTTATGTTAAATAACCTGTTGTGAATTGCAGTACATACTGTAAGTAAGGCTGTATGAAGGAATAGGTGGAATGTTCTGCATGTGAAACGGACAAAACAAATGGGAAATGGGAAATCTCATCTATTCACCTCTACAAGACACAACATACTTTACATCCAAAGTGATCTTTAATTAAATACATATCCAAGTGGCTCAAAATATCACACCTAAGATGAACTGAAAAAAATCACTGTAAAATGACTTTAATAAAAGCCATGTTTCACACATTAGTTGATGCACAGAGATATATATATATATATTTAATGGGGAGTGTTTTCATTGGGAAAGAGTAGCAGATTAACCTGTTCAGCTAAGTTTTGTTAACAGTACGAGAAGATTTCAGCCTCCATTTACATTTGTACCTTGTCCTAAAACATTAAAGGTTTATGCATAGCTATACTAAATGCTGCCATAACTTGCATTCGAGTCATCTTAAGCTGAATGTGTTGTTTATTATGTAGATTTACAGAGTATTTTACTGTGTTAAAAATGTGATAATTTGCATTGCAACAAGTCCTACACACACAAGATCACCAATTCCTTTCTACTTTGTTTTTGGAAACTTTACCTGCTAGGTGGCGCTGGTGTTCCAGCACCCTCCTCTGCACTCCTGGCATGATTGGAAAGTTTCTTTCATTCTTAAGTGATATAATAAATGTACTTAGTCTTTCTGAGGATCTACTACAGATAATTCTAAGAGCCTAAATCTGTACAGTGTCATTCATTTAGCAGTAGTATTTGACATTCACAGTTTAAAGACACATTTAGATGTTCGTTTTAGCTAAGATTTTAAAATTATAACAGTCTCCTACAGTGGTTCCCATAAAAAAAGAAATAAAAATATTAAGGACAGGAAATAAAAACCAACAGGGCAAGCTAGAATTTATTTCTAGTACTTTCACAAGAGTCTCTTCATGATTTAGAAATATATTGTTTTAATATAGTATAAAATAAGCAGTCAGGTTTTAAGTAAAATTGAAAGTACAAACAAATAGTAATTTTGGATGCGCAATGTAGAAGAAATGTAATTATGCTATGTATATTTAATAGTTTAATCAGAGGAGGAATACATAATTTGGTCAAAATCAATTAAATCAACTCACAATCTCTATTTCTTCATTGTGAAGAAGGTACTGTAAGTTTAGACAACTAAACAGGAGATGGTGTTTTGGGATTTATTAACTTCTTACAATTGCAGGTTATATTGTTGTGGCTTACAGTGATGGAAACTTGCAAAATGGATTCGTTCTCATTAAATCATGTGTCAACAATAACAAAAATAATAACAAAAGATTTTGAATTTCACTGACTTTTCAGATTTGGATCACAGATTGCAAATGACCAATGTAAAAGAAATCTCTCAATAATTAATTGTTTATCAGGATTTTTTCTACATTGGAAACATAAAATGATTGTGCTGTGATGCTGAGAAGCAGATCTTGTGCCCTTGCAAGATGGTTCCATTCATTTATTAATGGAGCTGAAGCCTGTCATAGTAAGCAATGGGCGCAAGGCAGAATACACCCTGGACAGAACACCAGTCCACAACACCACACGCACAGACACACTCACACAAGAGTCGATTTTATCAGAAGCCAATTAACCAGTACGTCTTTGAATGTGGGAGGAAACCTATGCAAATACAGGGAGACCATACAGTACAAACGCGGATAGTATCCCAGAAATTGAACCCAGTGCTGCAAGGCAGTAGTGCTAACCACTATGTCACTGTGCTGCTCTCCTATGCGTTACATCAGTTCAAAATACAAAACACCATTTTACAAGCCACTTAGGGTTCAAAGAATGCACAGTTTAAGAGCAAGAAAGCATTGTGTGTAAAATGTAATTCTAGCGTTTGATTTAGCCATAAACGAAAATGTTGTAGTAGTACTGTACATTAGCTGTATAAGAAATAAACGTGAACCAGGCAAGAATGTAAGAGTACTGTATCTGAAAACACGCTTCCTTCCTTCCAGCAGTTTTAACTACAGTATTTGCCAGAGAAAAGTGTTTGTTAATATAACAAATATTCATATTATATCTGTAATTCCGAATAATACTTCTTTTGCAGCTATATTGGCTGGGCGTATTGATAAACAAGCACCAAGCTTTTTCTAAATAGTGAAACCATTTAAATTGCAATTATGATTTTTATAAGTAGTACAGTATACTACATTGTAATTACAATTTTATCGGCATTTTTGTTATTTTCATAGGATTTGTAATCATATTTCTGATTTCATGACTAACCAAGGCTCTGATATTGATCATAAAACAGCAGCAGGAAAAAAAAATCTAATAAAATGAAAAATCTTAATAAATAAAAGGTTATATATTTTGACTTTACTGGTTTCCTTTAAATGCCCAGCAGACAAGTGAGATTTTCCAAATGCACAGGCCTTTGCAGTGTTTTGCAATCATAACGTATGAATTCTTCTCTGCCATTAGAGTCAAATCTATACCCCTTTCTGGTCCCAGGTGACATCTTTTTCAAAAATAGCATCCATCAAGGAATAAATAAAACAATACTAATTTGAAAAAGAATAGCTATACCATGATAGTACTGTATTTGTGGCTGTGGGTTACTGTTAAGATTTATTAACATTAGAATTAGAGAGATTTTGAAAAACAAGACGTTGCCTACCCATATTAGATTCAATCCTTCTGAAAATACGAAGTTTTTTTAATTTAACTTTACAGATGTAAATAAAAACCAAAATGTCACACTAACATTCCTCGTGTAGACGTCATTAGCCCTCAGCTTTCACAAGACTAGGAACGTGATCCTTTTTTAGAATACTTTTAAGCAGAAAAGAATTATAAAAATTGCTGGTAGTTATTTACAAAAAACACAGCCCCTTCTCTCAGTGTACAGTACATAAAATAGCCGTCTAAAGGCAGTTTGGTGCAGAGATGCATTCTATTTGGATGCTTGAACACAATCGCAGAAAAAAAAGCCAGTCACATTTTTTTAAAATAAATATATAGCCCAGTTTACTATAGCGGTAAGAGTTACAAATATACGATTTACGATATGAATGTCAAGACGAAGCTCGCGGTTTCGAAAGACTGTCCTAAAATATAGAAACTTGGATCAGCCATCCTGAACAAATTGTTGCAATCTGTTAAAAGACAGTTCCTCTGGCCCCTCTAAGTTTGTATCATTTTCATTGATTATTAAAAATTTAAAACATCTTTTACAATCTGACTTTGTGACGTAGAATGGCAAACAAAATAAGGCTAATGAATTTAATTTACACTTAGAAACCCCGTTTCGTGTTTTTGCAACACGACGTGTTCCACGATAACCTTTCTCCAATTACTCTGTCAAAACTAACTGGTCTAAATCACATACTCCCTGAACAGATCTGTAAATCCCACCCTCAACGCTAAGACTAGAAAACGTATTGGACAAGAACCCGGAGGCAGGTCTTTTCCCTGTTCTATTCATTGGTTGGCAGGAGATCAGTAACAATGTTTAACGCACTATGAGGTGAACGGAGTTAGTCAGCGAGAGGCATTGAGAGGGAGCTGGAGGTGTGTGGTGTGTAAAATTGTAATCCCACCGTTTTCAACTGTTGATGTAAAACGGAAGATCCTCAGATCGTGTTGAGTTCCGTTTTTTAAAATATGTAAAAACCGGACCTTTGACTTTATCTTTTATACGGTATACACTGGACTAATTAAAAGAACAAGGGCAAATGCAAACAGATCTTTTATTCTGCATCATTGCAGCATGCAAGACATTGAAGACTGATTACAATGTTAATATCCGTTCTGGATCTATATTTTCTATCTGGATCTTCACACTCTAATAAGCATTCTTCAGGGGAATTTGGTGACTCACTGAAGACACCGTGAGCCGAGGCGAGCTATTGCATTATAATCAGAGAGAAATTGAGAGAGCTCTCCTCATTGATATTACAAGCAGTACTTTCTGGACCAGTTTACTTGCATATACAGTAGTGTGCACTGAGTCTTCTGGCTTTCTAGTTTCTAAGAAGATATAGGTTCACAAGGAGAAAGAAGGGAAGCAACCTGTTAATCAGAAGCAAACAAATACTTGGGTAAGTATTATATGATCATGCATGCAAACACGTATAGAGTTTACAGTGAGATTTAAAAAATGTTTTGCGCTCTGAGTTACAATGATTCGGGCTAGATGCAACAGCTTCTACTTAGAAGCCCTAGAGGCTAAAATATATATGTTAGACTAGCGATTCTATGGAATATGTATTTATTTTGTGTTTGTGTTTTTAAAGTTGTATTGGAGGTTGTGAATAAATCGCACTATGCTGTATTGTCAGTGTTTAGGAAGCTCAATTAAACACATTTGTGTACATTAATTTTCTTGTAGCTTTAAGGAGAATGAGATGGCCACAATTCAGCATTTGGTTGCAGTAGAATAATCTTTCCCATAGACTTAGATTTATTTGCGTTTTCACCTTGGCTTTTAACGTTCATCTTTAATTTTGTAAGAATAACGTACTATTTCTGTTTAAGATGACTAACTCGCATGCTTGTAAAATAAGCTATATAATTGTAGCATGAAATTAGCTTATGCGTAGTCTAAATAAGTATATAATACCATTTAAGATGTATCAGCCTGCTGCATTCATCAATCTTGGAGAAGATCACATCTCACATCTTTTTTTATGATCCAAAAAGCCGTACTGTCGGTAAAAGCGATCTTTTGCAAATCAAGAACATTTATTTTATTCGTTTTCCAAATTAATCAGCTGTGAAAGGAAAACAGCAACCCATAACAAAATAGTCGATTTGTAGTGTATTTCTTCCTCTGATTGGAGAATCTTTGGTTTTCTTTTGTATTTCAGAAGAGCACAAGCACTACAGCTATTTCTTCTTGTGGAAACCGGCTTCCCATTACACCACAGATGTTTCTGGGCGTTCAGAAGAACAGGAGAGCGTTTCATTTAAATTCTAAAGGTGTACAACATCACCGTTTGTAATTAAAAAAACAACAACAAAACGAAGCTATTTTCCTATCGCAAAGCAAAGATACAAATATATATATATATTGCAGTGAGCAGAACTATCTGACCGATGATAATTACATTGAAGATTTGCAATTTTGCTGAGCAGATCAACAGGTCTGAAACTTAAAGCATATCTCAAATAATAAGCGAACACATCGCAGGGGGATGTATCTTTCTGTTTTCTTTTTCCTTCTTCTTTGGGCTCAAGCCCTGACATTGAAAAACTTAAATTACTCTGTCCCGGAGGAGCAGGGACCTGGCACCGTGATTGGGAACATTGCCAAAGACGCCAGGCTCGGAGTTGGAGAAAGAAGCAAGAAACCCAGCTTTCGCGTTTTAGAAAATTCAGCCCCTCATCTTATTGATGTGGATCCTGAAAGCGGACTGCTATATACTAAGCAGAGAATCGACAGGGAAACACTGTGTCGACGAAACCCCAAGTGCCAGCTCTCTTTGGAGGTGTTTGCGAACGATAAAGAGATCTGTATGATTAAAGTGGAAATCCAGGACATAAACGATAATTCTCCCAGCTTCCCATCCGATCAGATCGATATTGACATTTCTGAGAACGCAGCCCCTGGGACACGCTTCCCACTAACAAGCGCACACGACCCTGACTCAGGGGAAAATGGGTTAAAGACATACCAGATCACCCGAGACGATTACAATATATTTTCCCTGGATGTGAAATCGAGAGGAGATGGGACTAAATTTCCTGAATTAGTTATTCAGAGACCTTTAGACAGGGAGGAACAGAGCCATCATACCCTAATATTAACAGCTTTGGATGGGGGCGAGTATCCAAGATCAGGAACTGTGCAAATCAATGTTAAAGTTATTGATTCTAATGACAACAGTCCAGTGTTTGAACAGCCCTCCTATACTGTAGAGATCCCTGAAAACGCACCCTTAGGCACAGTATTGATAGATTTAAATGCTACAGATCCAGATGAAGGAAGCAACGGACAAGTGGTTTATTCATTTGGTGGATATGCACCAGACAAGATCCGTGAGCTTTTCTCTATTGACCCCAAAACTGGTGTTATAAAGATCCAGGGTGAAATTGATTATGAAGAAAATGGAATTATTGAAATTGATGTTCAAGCTAAAGATCTGGGGCCCAATCCCATTCCTGGCCACTGTAAAGTCACTGTAAAAGTAGTTGATAAAAATGACAATTCACCCATCATAGGCTTTGTTTCTGTCCGGCAGGGAGCCATAAGTGAAGCAGCCCCTCCAGGTACTGTCATTGCACTGGTGAGAGTAACTGACAAAGATGCGGGGAGAAATGGACAGCTCCAGTGTCGAGTGGTGGGCAATGTGCCTTTCAAACTGGAAGAAAACTATGATAATTTTTACACTGTAATTACAGACAGACCTTTAGATAGAGAGGTTCAGGATGAGTACAATGTGACAATAGTGGCCAAAGACAGTGGGATCCCATCTTTGAATTCTACCAAATCTTTTACAGTGAAAATCTTAGATGAAAATGACAACGCACCACATTTTACCAAGCCCGTTTATCTTCTGCAGGTGCCTGAAAATAACATCCCAGGGGAGTATCTAGGGTCAGTATTGGCCCACGATCCAGATTTGGGTCAAAATGGCACTGTTTCTTATTCTATTTTACCATCACATGTAGGAGATGTGTCAATTTACACGTACGTGTCTGTGAATCCCACAAATGGTGCCATATATGCTTTAAGATCTTTTAACTATGAGCAAACTAAGTTTTTTGAGTTTAAAGTTTTGGCAAAAGACTCAGGGTCTCCTCATTTGGAAAGTAATGCAACAGTTAAGGTCAGTGTTTTAGATGTGAACGATAATGCACCGGTCATTGTTTTACCCCTGCTGCAAAATGACACTGCGGAACTTCATGTGCCCCGTAATGTTGGGGTGGGACACATTGTGACCACTGTAAGGGCAGTGGACAATGATTATGGAGAAAGTGGCCGGCTGACTTATGAGATTACTGATGGAAATGAAGAACACCTCTTTGAGATGGATTCAGTCACTGGAGAGGTCAGGACAGTCCACCCTTTCTGGGAAGAGGTTGCCCCAGTTGTGGAGCTTATAGTTAAAGTGACTGACCATGGAAAGCCCACCCTTTCTGCTGTAGCAAAACTGATAATCAAGGCTCATTCTGGATCTCTGCCAGAGGGAGAGCCCAGAATAAATGAGGAGCAGCGTCACTGGGACATGTCTTTGCCTTTGATTGTCACCCTGAGTATTATTTCCATTATCCTTCTTGCAGCTATGATTACCATAGCTGTAAAGTGCAAACGAGAAAACAAAGAGATCAGGACTTACAACTGCAGGATTGCTGAGTATTCTCATCCACAACTGGGCAAGAGCAAAAAGAAGAAGATTAATAAGAATGACATCATGCTGGTGCAAAGCGAGGTCGAAGAGAGGGATGCCATGAATGTCATGAATGTGGTGAGCAGTCCTTCACTTGCAACTTCCCCCATGTACTTTGATTACCAGACAAGACTACCCCTCAGCTCTCCTAGGTCAGAGGTCATGTATCTCAAGCCCACCTCTAACAACTTGACTGTTCCTCAAGGGCATGTTGGCTGTCATACCAGCTTCACAGGGCCTGCAACTAATACAACTGAGACTCCAGTAAATAGGATGTCAATTATTCAGGTAGGAAACACAATTTATATCTGTCTTTTAACTTCTTAATTCAGCAATTTTTTATTCCACTTCCATATGCAAACATTTTTTAAAAGTAACAGTGCAATTTAGAATACATTGTCTGCTGCAAAATGAAGAGTCAGACAGTCTTTACATATAATAGGCGATCTTTTTTTTTATTCAAAAGTTTAGATTTATTTTTTAAGTATTACTGAGGTCATGATACAGTATATACACTGACCACTCTGTAACTAAGAGAGGTAAAAGATTAATTGGTGTTCTGTTCAGAAACCAATGTCTCTTTGCAATTTGTTTGTGATCCAGGGATGTGCTTTCATGTTTTTACTGAAGTAATAATTCTCATAATTATTATAGGTTTTATAAATACGTATAATGTGCTTACATCAATGCCAAGATTAATCTGCTCTGTATTTGTTGAGATACTACTGTATCAGTAAGATTTATATTTTTAACATAAGACTTAAGTGTTTCAGAGAAGGCTAGAAACAATGATTTTAAGTATTTTCTGAATTCTTGAAAGTATTAAAAAGATTATCAGTATCTATGCACTTAAAATGATGGCGAATGCTACTTATTATGTTTTTATTTTATACTTATTACTCCTTGTTTTTAATTGAAATTATTCTTTCAACAAAACATTTGTTGAGATATTTATATGATGAATACATCCTAATTTATGAGTTAACATTACGTTTTAGCTGTTTTAATTTCAAAGACGGCAAATTACCCAAATATCCTTCAAAACTAATAGGTGCTCAGATTTTTCTTAGAAGCCAAAGGGGTTTACTTGTTTTCCACATTCCTAATACCTCTTTGTGAGGAGCGATTTCACTAAGCCGTTGACAACCACTGCGTATCTGTTGTGCTAAGCCTGTTTTAAGCAATTCGAAATCTGTCATGTCAGACAAGGCTAAAGTCCGACTTAAACAGCAGAATACATCCAGGTGTACATATGCGACCTGCTAGATTAGTATAGGCAAACACCACAGTCCTGCTGTATTTACATGTAGCTAGTTATTCTTTAGCACAAACTTTCCCACGATGGTTTTATTTGTAGTTATTGTAATGTGTGTTCATTTGTTGTTTTGAAAAATTCTGAGCGTGAGTCACAGAGAATTCAGAACTTTTAGAAGCATATTTTAAAGCTTCTAACTTGTAAACGTTCTAAACCAACACCAAAATTTTCTGTAAATTTTGTATCTCTCTGAATCAGAAAATTCTCATTTCCAAACAATATCCATTCATCCATTTTTTTTTCAGATAGTTACTCATTTCAGATAAAGGTTACAACAAACCAGAGCCTAACCCAGAAGCCCAACAATATTTATTTCAAAGAATTGTGAATAGCGGAAATATACATTTCCGAGAGTGTACGTGATGTAAAAAGTATTTAAAAAGTCTTGTCGCATATATTTTTTATCAACAAATTGGTTATTGGAGAATCTTTATTAAAGAGCAAAGTGTTTTAACGCTATTGGAAGATCTTGTTTGAATGTTGATGTAACAAAAACCCTTTACAAATATCTGAAGTTCACATTACGTGTTTGTGGTCTTCTCATTTACATGGTGCAAAAAACATTATTCTTAGCACACCACTATGGATTCCCTCTATTTATTGAACATGTGTATTCTATTATTTACAAGAAACAATGTAGGAAGATACCCAGTATCACATTTCCAATGACAAAAACTATTTTCTGTCAGGTGCTGAAGTGGGTAACCTAAATCTTTGCAGAGTGGTTATTGGAATATGGCAGGAAACAAAGACAGAATTCCCTTTATTGATCTAGTGTGGCTGTATCTATCATTAACTGCAGAAAAAAAGCTGCTGCACAAGGTCACCTTAAGCCTTTTATGAGCCTAACAGTACATGCAATATTACTGAACCAATAATGACATTTTATAGCAGTCCAGAAGTTTATCTGCTGGCTGCATTTCAAATAAAAAACAATTGTTAAATGCTGCATCCCATGTGATGTTTCAGCTTGGTGAAACAAAAATTGCAATTTGATTCGTAAAGAATTATTGAATATGGAAATAAAGGCTAGTTAATTCAGCTTAAAGCATTAATGAATATTACTTATGGTTGAATCAAGGTTAAAATGAATCTGTTGTGGTAGCAAGATATATCATCCTTACAAGTTCTTTTTTTTCACTAAAGCAGTCGAGAATTGTGTACTTATTACTGTATATACTTATGGCCCAAAGCAGAAACAACCAAGGTATGCTAAAATACAAGAAATAATTATAAAAAACATGAAAAAGAAGCACATTATTCCCTTTAACGTTCAAAACATTAGTAAAACTCTACTCCAGTCCCTGCAAATCACATTTGTAACTGTGAGTGTCTGTTAAAACCAAAACGAGATTACTTATTCTCCTCTAGGTGGAGTTAGTCTTCCTTATGGTTGTTACATGGTCACTACAGAAGAAAAGGAGGACTTACAACAGGGGAGTAGTATGCTGCACACTCCTTTTATATCATGCGTGCATTCATCCTGTTGAAAGTGTTTCATAATTGACAGGCATGTAACGTGTGATTAAGCGATTCAAGGTATAGCCAAGTTTCCTAACTGGTTTTACTTCCACATTTCACTGTGTATTATAGGCAAAAGTGTACTTTTGGTCTAGCTGTTTGAAACCACTAAATCCTGGATATTTCAACTGAAAAGAGACATTTTAGTTTCAGTGTAATATTGAATCTGTCCCATTTATCAGTCAGGGCTGGCACAGGTACAGATAGGTCAATTGATTTGCACAAGGTCACACAGTCAGACAGGCCAGTAATTCACAAGGTGGGCTCACCACAAACCATTTATAAAGGTCAGAGGCACCAAGACAAAAGTCTGCCTTTTGTGGGTTTGCAGGCATATATTGCCTCAGGTCTACTATACAATTCCCGCTTCACAAAGCAATTAATTTCAATGAGAATGTTTTTTTGTGTTGTGCAGAATGTGATAAAGATAAGGTCTTTTCTACATTTCACCTTTTCGCCAAATGTAGGGTTAAGTATGGGAGCAGCAGTATGTGTTAATCAAAATAACTGTGCCAGGAGCCAGTAGTAATGGTGGATAACATAGAGCAGACTTACTGGTATTTACAGTTCCAGACCTGTAATATACAGTATCATTGTAGATGCATTTTATTGAAAATACTCTCACACTCCCAATGAGCATCTAGAGTGACAGCATTCAGATTTGTTCTAGAGGGTTTCTTTATATTCATTTCAGAGAAAACTCAAGTTGAGAAACTTTAAGATTGACATTTACATGTTGAAAGATTTTGAAAAAGTAGAACATAATATAATAAAAGTATGAAAGTGGGATTTTTAATTATTTTCCTAGCTTAAATTCCTAGATTGATATTTATATTTTTCTGAAACTTGTTGAAAGCAGGTTTCTTACATTATATGTATATTTGTTTGGAACAAAATAAGAAATTTACAAATAAAAGGAGGACTTTCACCCCATTTAGCTTGTTTCTTTTTTGTAGAAGACTGATCCATCGATCTACTGCCATTAATTATTCTAGATGGATCATAAGTGGATTATATATCATTCATACCAAGTATGAACTGATTATTTTAAGATGTTTTTGTACGTTGTGTGGATGTATTTCTTAAATATTTAATGAGGATACATTCAGAAATGGTTAATTTTTGTGGACATGTGCTGGTAATAAGATATAATACAATCTATAACTATGAAATAGCATACTTTTTGCTTATAATTCTATGATTTCTTTTATGTTATCTGACTTTTTTATTTTCATTTATGCACCTCTGTATTGCAGACTGAATACAAATATTACTGTTTTTACAGGGTTATTAAGAAATAATTGCATTTTGTAAATGTTTCCAAATTGTGTTGTGTCTTGTTCAGCTGTAATAAAACTTAGTGCAGGTTGAGAATAAAAACAACAACAAACACAACTTTCATTAAATAAGCTGCATATGAATATTTTTAATTTTGTTTTATCCAAACTGCTTTTTATTCTGATATATCCAAAATCAGCCATGTTGATTAAGATGCATTTCTTTATTTATATGCTGATGGTGACACCTGACACCTGAAGAAGGCTCCATGGCCGAAACGTTGTGTTCTCTTTCTTCGTTTTTCAGCATGGAATAAACCTATTACTTGTTCCTTTGCAGCCTATGCATGCTGACGCAGCTACCCACCTGAACTATGATAGAAATATGCAGACATATATGGATAGAAAGTCTCTTGGTGTTTTTAGCACTATTTAGATATTTATAGGCATTTGTGGACATCCATACATTATTTATAGACATTTCTAGAAGTCCATGTAAGGATTATAAATAATTAACTGTGTTGTTTAGCCCCGTATAATTCTATACTCTAGAGATTTCTGATGATTTTAAATTCTAGAGAGCATTAACATAGTTGTGTCTAAGAGAGATCCCGCTTTTTGTAATTTCTTCAGGTTTCTCACAAGTTTTTTTATTCATTCACCTGGGCTAAAGGTGTAAGATTATAATTCTTTTCTAATCAGGAGTGTCAATAAAGATGTAGTAGATGGCACAACAGGTTAATTTCATTATCTTACTAGGACATTTGACCTGGCAGCTTTTATTACTATTTTAGCATTTTAATTAAAATCTCCTCTCCAGTTTGTTACACTATGTACGTCATGTTAAAAAGAATCACTTTAACCTATTAAACCAAGTTCCTGAATACTTGGTCATTAAAGATCTCATTGCGCCGCTCATAAGATTATGACTTATGGGACACTGGCTGTAGGAGGTGCCATCCTTCAGATGAGATGTTAAACTGAGGTCATGACTATTTGCTCATTAAAGATCCCATGGTACATTTGAAAGAGCTGGGGTGTTAACCCTGGTGTCGTGGCTAAATTACACTTTGAGGTTGCACAATCTGGTCTCACTAAACTTTCAACTTAATTTAGTTGGTGAAGTAATTTCTCTAAGGAACCTCTCTACGTGATCTGTTGTGTTGTAGCTGCTG